TGGAGCCACAACGGTCCAAAAGGGTTCGATAGTTGATAAATTGCTAATATTTGTTACGTTTGTCTGATTATACCTGAAAAATTAACATGGCAAAAATTCTTAATTATAAATCCGCAATTTGGTGTTTAAAATTCTTAACATAAAGTGTAATTAAAAGTAACCGATTAATTTAAAACAATTATTTATATTTTTTTAAATTGTAGAATTTGAAACAGGTCATCTGTTTTACTGTTTACATTTTTACGTTATTATTATCATTATTAAAAGGTATAAAATAATATTACTCACTGTATGTTTATACACGTGTTAATACCATACCAGAACACATCATCAGATACTAGAAGATATAACATACGCCATATAATGGATGCTGTAACAATTGAAATAATAAAGTAGTTGAGTAGTTTGAAGTATTTTTTTAGTTTCAATATACTATTAATTACTATTGACATAACAATAATTATTTTAAAATAGTATAAATTCTTACTCTTAAAATACTTATAATAAATTTTTTATGTATAAATAAGTAGTCTTAATTTTAATAAATTTGTAGTTAAGTTTTCTTATATTCTATTACGTGCGAATTTAAGAATTTACATACAATTATTAATACGTTTAACATTATTTTCTTTAATTATAAGTAATATTTTAGTTGTATTTATTTAAACTTACATTTGATTTCATAAAGGGGTGTTCCAATTGGCAGAGAATCTGTAGGAAGAGTATCGAAACGTAAAGACTCCTGTTGTGTTTGAACGACAAATAAGTCCATCATGCGATTATATAACCTAATCTGTAAAGCGTGACATGATCGAATAAATATGTAGTCGAGTATTTAAATTTTGGCAACATGTATTTAGCATTATTGACAGCTGCTATTTACATTTGGTCGTTTATATTATAAAATAAAAAACTGCAGCATACTAATAGTAAAAATATATAAAAACCTGATTCAAAATATTTGCTGCAAGAAATGTAATGAATCCTTCTTTTGACCACAAAAGCACGTCATGAAACCAATAAGATATCGTTTCACGTGCTATAAAATTTGCCACTTCCATTTTGCGAACAGGATGTAATGTATTATTATAAATAATATCTTCTTCCCTGAAAATTGTTTTCAAGTATTATAAATATAATAAAAGTTTTTATTATAATTATGCAATTTAATAAATTTGTGTATTGTCATTATAGTAGATACAAGTTATTACAAAGACACAATTAAACATTAATTAAATTTAATTAAAATTAAATGTAAAGATAAAGTAATAAAGTTAAATCTGGATTTGACAAAAAAAAATGTTATATTTAAACAACTTTGTGTTTTCATATATACAATATTTTTAGTAAGCAATATACATTATATTTTCAATAAAATAACATGGCAATAACCATTTTGCTTGTAATTCTACATATTTACATAGAATTTATTTAAATAAAAAAAAATATTTTGAGCATTTCTGCATCAGCATTACGTGCGAAATGTGTATAACATTTAAAATAATAAAAATTTTGTTGATTTTGTGTCTCATTATTATTGGTAAAAAAAAAACTTTTGTAGCATATTTCTTACTTGTACGTAAAACGTTAATTGCAATTATCTTTCATGCTTTGAATAATGAAATCTGAATTAAAATTTGATTTGACGTAAAAATAATTATTTAAATTTTTTGTTTAAAATAAAAATAAGAATAAAGATAAAAATTTTATCAGAAAGAGTGATGCAAGTGATATGTTTTAGTTATTTTTCAATAATTATACTAACATTAAAACGTTTTTTTAAGTTTAGAATATTATAGATAAATATATTTATTTAATTTTGGTTTCAATTTTTGTTGTTATTAATGAGTATTACCTTAATAGAATGAATTCCCGTGTCTTTATGTCATTGTATATAAAGTACTTAGCTACAATGTAATCTATTTTTGATATTTCTCTTATATTGTTTTGTGCCAAATACTGCATGACTTCATAGACAACGTTTTCTGCAAATTGCAACTGGTCTATCATCTCTTTTCTATACCAAATTTTGACATTTCTAATAGGAGCGAAGAAATTAGTGAATGTGATTATCACAATTGTTAAATGTTCAGCAGACATTAGAGGTGATATGTCAAAATAAGTCCACAGCATGTTATCCATATCCTCAACTTGTTTTTTTGTCGGCATATTCGATAGAAATGTGTAATTTTTATGATGCCAGATAGAAATGTTAAAAGTTGATTTAAATATCGCATTGTCCCAAGATGGAAATAATTCTGTTGCTTTTATTACTTTAAAGCCGTTGTCAAATCTATTTTATTTTTAATGTATAATTAATATAAAATTTTAATCATAATTGGACTGAAAATTGATTATATTAACTTACTCTTCTATTTTACTTGTGTAGTAGGATTTGAAAGAGTCTTCGTCATCAAATATGGTACGGACATATGTCATTCTTAAGATATACGTACCAGAAGATAAAAGAGCGATCGATGGCTGGGTAAAATCAAGATAAATGTATCTTTTATTGATAAATGATAATTCCTGGATGTTAATTATCTGATTACCATCTTTGTCAATTAGGTCAATTTTAAGTATGGCAATAGTCTTTGAGTTCAAAATTATCGCTCCTGTTTTGCGAGTAATCTGGATAGTGATATTGCATTCTCCAAAAAAGACATTTCTGTATATGTCAAATTTCATTTTGACATCATAATGCAATGGTATAAAATTCAAATCATTGTAATTAAATTCAGTGTCATTTTTCGTAAATTTTGCAGTAGATAGTATAATTATTACGATTAATATTAAACCGTTAAAAATATTTCGGAATGCTATACTAATTTCCATTTGAAGCATCTACAAGAAGAATTTTGTGATTAGAAAAACACATACATTTGCAACACATTCCATTGAACTTCTATACATATAAGAAAAATAAAGATTACATATAACAGCTCTTACAGTTAATTGTACTAAAGCGGTGTAGTATTTTTATGAAAAAAGCTAAAGGAGAGAGAGAATTATTTGTGATAGTAGCAAAAAACTAAACAAAATTTTAAATATGAGAGGTAATATAGAATCTTACAAACTGCATAATTTGTTCAAAAATTCTTGTTCATTATAAAACTAAAAATATTATGTATACAGGGTGTCTGGCAATAATCGCCCCACCGGTCATATACAGGTAGAGGAGGTCAAATCGAGTAGAAAAGTCCTTTACCATTTTTTGATTTTTGTAATAAGTACTAAGTAATTAACGAAAAAGATTGGTGAATCCGTGCAAGTAAAGCGCGCGCAGCGAGAAGGACATCCCACTGCTATGCGATCACTAGGCGCGCGATGAAGCGTTGGGATGAGCGCTCTACAAATGACAATGGCAACATACGAGCGGCGCGTAACGCTAGATCCTTGTATCCTAGTGATCGCGTAGCAGTGGGACGTCCTTCTCGCCGCGCGCGCTTTACTCGCGCGGATTCGCCGATCTTTTTTCGTTAATTACTCAGTACTTATTATGAAAATTAAAAAATGGTAAAGGACTTTTCTACTCGATTTGACCTCCTCTACCTGTATATGACCGGTGGGGCGATTATTGCCAGACACCCTGTATATAAAATTTACATAATACCGAAAATACGTATGTCAAATTAATTTTTATTTTCATAGAAAATTGCGTTGTTATAATGTTACAGATAATTAAATAATTTTTCACTTCAACTATATGAATACTAGGTCTCAAAAAACACAATGCATCTTTCCAAAAAATTTTGCAAATGTCAAAATAATTAATTTTCAACGTGTGACTTTAATTTAATTTAAAAATTTTACATTTAAACAGACGAGATAAGTAATTGTTACATTTATCTAAGCTGTACTATAAATTGAAAAAGAAAATTTTTAAAGAATCGTTAAATATGTTTATCAGTACTGAAGAATATGTTTTGAAGAATGTAAAGCTGTGCTTTAGAAATTTTTTATATGTTTTTAATGAAAAACATTTCACTTGTGATGACTCACCTATATAGATTAAAATTATAGTACTTTGTAACAAATAACAATTTGTAACAATAGTACAGTTAACACCGTCTTGAATTGCGAATGCCAGAGGTATATCAATTTAATTGCTATCTTACTGTTTCGAGAAATCACCGAACACTGAGAGGAATATTGGTAGCTAACATAATATATACAGTATGCGATGTACAAAATAGTTCTTAAAAGGTTACGCAGTAACAACCACTACAAAACAGTGAAGAAGAGAATAAATTTTGATATGTAATATGATAAATTTGTGCATAAAATATAAAAAGTAAATTTGTACGTTATTTTCAACTATTGTTACAGGAATTGTGTGAAAATTGTATATTTAAAATAATTAATTTGTAGAATTATTTGAACTCTATATTGAAATGCAAATTTAATAGTTTTTCGAACGTAATTAATTGATATTAAATTATAAATTTATTGATATCAATTTTTACACATTGATATAAATAAAAAGAGAGTTTTCTCAGATGATTAATTATTAAGCTTTGTTATAAAAAATGTTATAAGTAATAAAATGTTATAAAATTTTTATGTATAAATAAGAGTTAATAGAAGAAATAACAAACGTACCAAAAATATACAGTACTAAAGATAATAAATAAATAGAATGCTTATATTTATATATATAAATATTAATTAATGTTAAATATTAGATAAATAAAATATTATAAATAATTGGGACAAACATGAAACGATTTAAAATTAAAAAGAAATATTTAATACAACAATAAAAAAAGAATTACAAAATAATTAATATATAAATGCATGTGAACAACAGGTAAAATTATTATCTTTTATCGATTCAAGTGCTTGGCTTTTTATACTGCATTATGTTTATATGTTTCAGTTGAGAACCCCGTAATTTGTAACACGTTTATTGTATTCCATTTTTCGTTTTTCTATTTTTTGTTTGACAGCATCCACTATAAAACTTAGTTGCTTTTCGCTCATTGTAAGTTTAGTTTTAACGAATTTACGTATCTACAACAGATTATTTGATGATATAACAGATATTAATAAATATAAGTTTTTTTTCCACTAAAGATGAAGAAATCATAAATTATTCCGTTAATTATTAAGCGCATTTGAATCAAACATGTCACGTATGTGGCATAAATTAAACATAAGTTACCCCAATATATAAAATCAAGTAATAAGAGTGTTATATACATACAGGAAAATGTACCTTTTTGAAATGCTTTACGTCATGCTCGTGCGTTATAATAACAATTAATATAGCAATTTGATCAATTTGTCTACAAAAGCAAAGTAATATATTTAACAAATATAACAAATATTCATAAATTTCAAATAATTTTAAAATAAAAATGTAATCACTGTTTTGAACTGAATTTTATGGATTCGAAATATTCGAATATATCCGTGAGCACTATATTATTTTTTGCATGTTTCGCAATGATAAGGAGAAAAATATTAGCATTCGTTTTACTGTCTGTTACATTTAAATAAAATTCATCGCTCTTTATAAACGTCAAATAAGTTTTAATAATGGTAGGATCTGGAGAGCAAGTTAGGTATTCTAAAAATGTATTATCAGATGTGTTTTTCCATTTATTCCACACTTTGAACCAATTATTGTAGTCTGATTTCATTAAACCTTTACAGTATATCCTTTCTCTCCATTTGAAAAATCTGCATTACCAGGGAGAAAGAAATATTCAATGCAAATATTTAACTACAATATTTTATAATTTACTATTAAAATAATTTATCTAGCATAGGGCAATAACGCCACAAAATTGGTTTATACTTATATCATGATTGTAAAACAACTTACTTGTCTTGTACAGAACTTTCAAGATGGTTATTTAATAGATCGGATGCAGTTTCTCTACATTTAGGAGTATCGAGAACACATGCCCATTTCATCGCTTCTTCTCTTAAAATTTTAGTAAAATCACTATCAAAATAAAATTTGTCAACGTATCCTATATTTAGCAGAAGTCCATCAAACCTTTCTCTAAGTTGCACCTAAAATTTGTTAAATAATAAGAATATTAAATTTATTATTGTTTTTGAAAAAAAAGTTTTAGTATATTTACACATATACATATATATATTTGTTTAACTTCTTTTGTACGTTGCTTTAATATTATACATTATTCTTTTTTATAGAAATTTATTTTTTTTATACCTTTATAGCGTTAGTATTTTGAACTGGCCATATACACATCATGTATTCAACAGCTTTAATCATGGGATACCATGCTACATAGTCTGCGTCTTTAAACAGAAACTTTGTAATGTTCCAAAACGAAAGAAAATTGAGTTGTCCTTGCCTCAAAAAATAAAACGCGTCATCGATGATTTGGGCTCGATTGAGAACATGAATATCGGTATAATTTTCATATAAATAATCCGCAAGTTTTTGCCAGTTACCCAAATCATAATTGATGCGATAGTATCCTATGACACAAAAATAATATTTTTATTATTACAGTGTCTTTATCAAATTTGTCCAAAAATGTTAGCAAATATTGTTTTCCCTTTCGAAACATTTCCTCAAATAATTTACTTTTTAATAAAATATTTTAGAAATTAGTTGCAAATATGTGTATTGCAAATGATTAATTAGAAAGTGACTTAGAATTAATAATAAATTAATTTCAAAGAGCTGCGGATCATTATTGGCTGAAACGTTAAGTACACTGAAAAAAAATTGAGTATTGGCAACCAAATCTCAAAGTAGAACGGAATTTAGTTGCACTAACTACAATCGAGTTAGACTGACTAAAAATTAAGTCAGATCAACAAATAAGATAATAAAAGAACAAGAAATTCTGATCAAAGGAGTAGGACTGTTTCTTCGCCATATGCAAGAACAATTCGAGTTGTTTCAACTGATTTTTTTTTAGTATATAATTGTGACTAGATATAATATATTAATATATTATAAATCTTAAATAATATCTACAAATATTACAAATTTGCCAATAAACACAAAAAACATATTTCTAATATTAAACATGGAATAATGAAACATCAATTTTAGAAAAAAGAGTAGAATAAAGTTACTGTTTAATATTTACCAGCTTGTTGTAAATTGAGTATGATCCAATCATTTTTGTCAAACGTAGACATATAATGGTGCGGTGTTAATGAAGATAACCAAAAGTGAGTTTGGGTATCTGATGGCTCAAAGTTCATGTCTGATTTTGTTGTATATGTCACATATAATTCATATGGTTTCACGTCGGTGAATAATGAATGTGGATAATTGATATATGAGATTAATATCGGGTTATGGAATGTTTCGTTATAATTTCGTGTCATGTACAGTATAGGATAATGTCTTTTCGTTAACAAAATATCGACTATATTTTCTATACTAAAGTTACGTGTGCTATTCGTTGCATCTACAACACTTTTCACAGTGTTAAAAAATAATGCTATAGTAGATAAATTATTAGTATCTGTCGCATTTGTCTGATTATACCTGAAAAATCAACATTGCAAAATTCTTTATTATCAATTATAAAATTACATTATTTATTATAAATAATAATTCCTCAACATGTTGTTTAAATTCTTTAAATAAAAAGTAACCAAAAGTAGCCGATAAATTTAAAACGATTAATTTGTATGTTTTTGAACAGTAGACTTTGAAGCATGTCATCTGTTTTACTGTTCACATTTTGTATGTCATTATTATCACCATTATAAATATAAAAAGATATTACTCACTGTATGTTTATATAGTTGTTGATACAAGTCCAAAACGTATCATCAGATATTATATTAAATATTATATGATATAACATGCGCCATATAATAAATGCTGTTACAATTCAAATTATAAAGCATTTGTTCAGCAGTTTGAGGTATTTTTTTTTACTTTTAATATACTATTAATTACTATGATGTATCAATGATTTTAAATACTTATACTTAAATATATTAAATAAGCTTAAATATATATTTTAAATATATGCTTATGGCACGGAGACCCGTTCAACGGTGACGTGCTGGCAGCCAGTTCCGCCATAACAAAAGGGTTAATATATTTACAATAAATTTTATGTATACATAAGTTGTATTTTAATTAATTTATAGTTAAGTCTTCTTATATTCTGTTATGTACAAATTTAAGAATTTACAAACAATTATCAATATTTTTAAATTATATTTTCTTTAATTATAAGTATTATTTTAGTTATATTTACTTAAACTTACATTTGATTTCATAAAGGGGTGTTCCAAATGGCAGAGAATCTGTAGGAAGAGTATCGAAACGTAAAGACTCCTGTTGTGTTTGGACGACGAATAAATCCTCCATGCGATATAACTGAGTCTGTAAAGCGTGATATGATCGAGTAAATATGTAATTGAGAAGTGTATTTGAATTTTGGCAACATGTATTGAGCGCTGTTGACAGCTATTACATTTTATCGTTAAATTATAAAGTCTAAAAAATCATAGTATATTAGTAATAAAAATGTAAAAACCTGATTCAAAATATGTGTTGCAAGAAATGTAATAAATCCTTCTTTTGACCACAGAATCATATCATTGTACAAGTGAGATATTGTTTGACGTGTTACGTAGTTTGCCACTTCCATTTTGTAAACAGGATGTAATGTATCATTATAAATAGTATTTTCTTCCCTGCAAATTGTTTTTACATATTAGAAATATATCTAAAATTTTTATTACAATTATACAATTTAATAAATTTGTGTTTTGTCGTTATAGGAGATGCAAGTTATTACAAAGCATAAATAAACATTTAAATATATTTGGTTAAAAATGAATTTAAAGATAAATTGGGGTAATAAATTCCGAAAGTTGGAAAAAATAAGATTTATAGCACATGTTTTATTTGTATAATGTAAAACGCAGTTATTTTTATTTTACACTTTCAATAATAAAATCTGAAATAAAATCTGATTTAACGTTAAACAATACTTATTTTAATTGTTTATTTAAAGTAAAAATAAGAAGTTTTATCAGAAAGATGGATGCAAGTGATATGTTTTATTTGCTTTTAAATAATTATACTAATATTAAAAAAAATATTTTTTAATTTTAGAATATTATAGGTAAATTTATTTATTCAATTTGGTTTCAATTTTTGTTGTTATTAACGAGTATTACCTTAATAGAATGAATTCCTGTGTCTTTACGTTACTGTCTTGAAAGTCCGTAACTACATAGTAATCTATTTTTGATACTATTCTTGTACTTTTTTGTGTCAAATAGTACACGACACCTGCGGCAATGTATTTTGCATATTGTATCTGGTCTCTTATCTCTTTTCTACACCAAAATCTATTTGCATTATAAGAGGAATTAGTGAATGTGGTTATTAGAATTATTAAATGTTGAGCTTGCATTAAAGATGATTGGTTAAAGTGAGTCCATAGCATGTTATCCATATTTTTCTCTTGTTTCACCTCTTTTCGTATCAGCATATTCGATAAAAATGAGTAGTTTTTATGATGACAGATAGAAATTTCAAAAGTTGATTTAAATACCGCTTCGTCCCAGTATGGAAATAGTTCTTCTGCTTTTATTACTTCAATGATTTCATTATTTAATCTATTTTATTTTAAATGCATGATTAATATAAAATTATATTTACAATTGACTAAGGATTGATTATATTGACTTACATTTTGCCTTTTTCTCTGTCTACATAGATAGATTCGAAGAAGTATCCATCATCTATTATGATACGGACATATGTCATTTCTAAGGTATACGTACCTGGAGATAAAAGCTTTAATGATGACTGAGTAACATTAAGATGAATGTACATTTTATTAAACGATTTATTGATAAGTGAAAATTTCTGGATGTTAATCTTCTGAATGTTATTGTTGTTAATCAAGGCAATTTCAAGTATACTGAAAATCTTCGAACTCATTAGAGTTATATTTTCCGTTGGACGATTAATCTGGATGATAATATTGCATTTGCCAAAAAAGACATTTCTGTATACGTCAAACTTTATTTTGACATCATAATGCAAGGGTATGAAATTCAAAACATTGTAATTAGATTCAGTCTCATTTTTCGTAAATTTTGCAGTAGATAGTATGATTATTACGATTAATATTAAACTGTTTAAGATATGTCGGAATGCCATACTATTTTCCATTTAAAGCATCTATAAGAAGAATTTCGTGATAAGAAAAACACATACATTTACAACACATTCCATTTAACTTCTCTACATATAAGAAAAATAAAGATTATATAACAACTATTATAGTTAATCGTACTAAAGCGATGCAGTATTTTTATGAAAAAAGGCTAAAGGAGAGAAAGAATCATTTTTGATAATAGTGAAAACAAAACAAAATTTTAAATATCAGAGGTTATATAGAATCTTACGAAAAACATAATTTGTTCAAAAATTCTTGTTCATTATAAAATTAAACATATTATGTATACATGTGCGACAATTGCTGAATCACCTCTTGGGTGTAGGTAGAGCGGTTTAAACCGAATAGAAAAGTCCTCTATCATTTTACGATTTTCGCAATAATTAATGAGGAATTAATTAAAAAATATCGGCCAATTCGCGCGAGTTTAAGAGCGCGGCGAGAAGAGACCCGTGGTGATACCACTGTTATTTGGTTACTAGGCGCGCGATAAATCGTTGGGAGGAGCGCTCTATGAATGACAACGGCACAGCGGTGTGTAACGTTAGATCCTTGCGTCCTAGCGACCACGTAACAACGGGCTGTCTCTTCTCGCCGCGCGCTTAGACTCGCGCAAATTGGCCGATCTTCTTTAATTAATTTCTCATTAATTATTGTAAAAATCGCAAAACGATAGAGGACTTTTCTACCCGCTCTACCTGCACCCGAGAGGTGATTCAGCAATTATCGGACACCCTGTATATAAAATTTATTTAATACTGAAAATACAATACGTATGCAAAACTATTTTTTATTTTCACAGAAAATTATGTTGTTATAATGTTACAGATAATTAAATAATTTTTTACTTCAACTATATGTACACTAGGTCTCAGAAAACAATCAATCTTTCCAAAAAATTTTGCAAATGTCAAAATAATTAATTTTCAACGTGTGACATTAATTTAATTTAAAAATTTTGCATTGAAACAGACGATAGATAAATGTTACGTTTATCGTAGCTCACGTAGTGTAAATCGAAAAAGAAAAAATTTAAAAGAATTGTTAAATATGTTCATTAGCACTGAAAAATATATTTTGATAATTGTAAAACTGTGCTTTAGAAATTTTTTATATGTTTTTAATGAAAAATATTTTACTTATGATAACTCACCTACATAGATTAAAATTATATGTTTATTAAAATTATAGTACTTTGTAACAATTAACAATTTGTAACAATAGTACAGTTAACACCGTCTTGAATTGCGAATGCCAGAGGTATATCAATTTAATTGCTATCTTACTGTTTCGAGAAATCATCGAACACTAAGAGGAATATTGGTAGCTAACATAATAAATACAGTATGTGATGTAAATAGTTCCTAAAAGGTTGCGCAGTAACAACCACTACAGAACAGTAAAGAAGCGAATAAATTTTGATATGTAATATGATATATTATTAATATGATATATTATTATAGAATATATAGAAAGTAAATTTGTACGTTATTTTCAACTATTGTTACAGAAATTGTGTAAAAATTGTATTTTTAAAATAAATAATTTTTAAAATTATGTAAATCAAAACACAAATTTAATATTTTTTGAGCTTACATGCGTAATCAATTTATATTAAATTATAAATTTATTGATATAAATTTTTATATATTGCTACAATTAAAAAAAGGGAGTAACTTGTCAAAAAATGAATTATGCTCGCACATATTTGCGTCTTTTTCTTTGTTTAATTTCTTTTACTATACACAACTAACAATTATAGCTTTTATTATACTTTTTTTTTTAACTTAGTCAAATTATTATATACTATTATTCTTATAAAAAATTATTATATACGAGGATCATTCAATAAATAAAAAAACAAATGTAATTTTAAAATGGTTTGTTCAATAACAGTTCATTTATTTTTCGATATAATCTACAATACACATATTCCATCTCTTTACTAGGATTTTTATATCAACAGCAAAGAAAAGAAAACTTTGTCTTGAAGTCTAAATCAATTTTTTTTTAGTTAATCTATTTGTTTTAAATTTTGCTTTACATTACATGTATTAACTATAAGCAAGAATAAACTTTAAAAAAAAGTAACTTATAATATATTTATTTACTTTAATACAATTCACTATCTTATAAAATATTTTTGAAAAATTCCACCTTAAAAAAGTATTATACATTATTTAGCCTATTAACTCAGCTGGTTAAAACGTATTGCTAATGACGCGAAGTCGCGGATTCGATTGCGTCCCAAGGGCCAATTTTTTATCCCTTATTAGTTAATACAATTTTAACCTATATAATTTAGATACTATTTAAAAAATAAAAATAAAACGCAAACTATTTTTAATAAAAAATGTTAATATTTTTTTAATATGTCATGTAGAAGAAGAGGTAGGAATGTAAGATGATGATTCTGGTAGAATCAAAATTATATCAATATCAAAATTCGGATATATAAATTTCGTCCATTAATTATTAAAATTATTATTCTACTAATAAAAGAAATTGTTTCGTAAACGTATATACATAAAGAAACCAATGTTCGTGAAAAATCGATTTTTGAATAATTCAAGTCTCTCTGATAAATTCATTCTCAACTGTGATTAAAATTATTTCAATGTATTTATCATGTCATATACTCGTACATTGTCATACGATTATAATGTACTATGCCTATGTACTGTACGTTATATCTACACCGAAATTGTTAACAAGTACATTTTTTCTCTGGATGTTTGAGAGTCCTTTGGTTCTTCCGTATTTTGTTTAAATATCTAACAATAAAACCAACCTATATAATTATATTAGCTGTAAATTACAAATATACTTTCTTTGCATAAGGCAATACCTGTAATACTTGCTTATTAAACATTTCTTTTTTTATCAAAACGATCATCGCACACGAAATGCTGATTCATGAATATGTGAGTACAAATCATTATGGTTGACTGTGATTACAGGTGATTACTTCATTAAATTGCATAAATTAGTGTTCGTTCATTGACTCACTTTTGCTTTGATTTAATTTATTCTAATAATTTCCCCGATTTAAAAAGCTATTATTTTTACTTCTTTTATATTATTAAAGTTGATAGCTATCAATATTAATGGGAATTCAACATTAAATACCTTAATTACTTCAAACTAATTTTATCTCAAAGCCAAATTCATCTTGAATAAATGGAAGAAAAATAATTTTTTATTTTGCACTCTTTAAATTTCTTAATTAAAATATTTTGTCACATTTTTAGCTGCCTATAGATTATTTTTGCCAATTTATCAAAAATAGATAATTAAAAGACTATATGAAAAAGATATATTTTTCAAGATTAAGATTTCATCTTGAGATTGAATAAAAATTTCTAATTGATCGCCGCTATGATATGAAATAACAAACACTCTGTTGATTCCAATAAAAACTTAATATAAAACAATATCATATATTTTATATATGCTGTAAGGCACAGTTCCTTAGATAACATCTATAAATCTATTTTCTCGAATCAACAAACTTATAATACTTACAGTTTATATGTGAAAATTATTGATATACGATAATACAATCAAACCGCTGCCGTTCGGGTTCTACTCTCTCTTTCTCTCTCTCTCTCTTTTTCTCTCTCTCTCTCTCTCTCTCTCTCTCTCTCTGTCTCTCACTCTTTCTCTCTCTCTACTTATCACACATTTTTGCATCGTTCATGTACGATATACCCGTTACGTAACATTCTGTTTTATATACAGGATTACAACGGTTTCCCGTCAATTCAATCACTCCTACTTTTTTAATCTTACGCTTCTCTGAGAGAGAATTCAGTCGCGCTTGTTTTGTTAAAAACGAATTGTCTCGTACCGTCTATTCCCGCACATCTCCAGAACAGATATTCTGGATTTTGGATCTTATCTACTTGTGCCATTTCCACGTCACATGTTTATATCAAAAAACTTAAACAACATAGATATGGCCGACCAGGAGATTCTCATGACGATGTAGGCCAGTATGAGTTTTAGCGCTTGATGGCACCAGTATAATCTGTAATACAAATTATCCAATATATTTTTCTAATTGAACAATAAGATTATACACACAGCGGTAAAGGACGCAGTAAAGTAGAGTTTGAAAAAATGTGGTTTAAATTTTAATTGATAATTAAAAATTATAACATTTCTGCAGAACGAATATTTGTCACTATTGCGATTTAGAAGTAAATGAATATAAATTTCCGCATTAACATTTCATTAAAGTAAACACAAAACTAAATGATCTTTTACCGTTGTCGAGAATATCAGAATGCAAATAAAGAGATGCTTTGGAGTTGTTTCTTGAAAAATATCGGAAATCTCATACCTTTGCCATCTGACGCGCGCCTGCGGCAAAGTGTCCAAGGGATCCTTGATGAGGTACACTCTTATTCCGCGAAGGTACGTCTCAAAATATACTTCCCAATTGAGATTTCTTATATCGCAATCGAAGTTTTTACGATCGTAGGACGTGAACTTCGTTATCATTGCGTGTAGTCGATCATTAGTAAATATCCATTCTTGCGTGGAAAAGTAGTTTAACACGTCCATGAATTTGTGTATCTTTTTGTAAACCTTAAGCAATCTTTAACAGACAATTCATAACAAACAGATGTTAAATAAGCAATTGACATAAAACGTTACGAAACGTTTACTTTTTTTAAAGCAGTTTACTTCTTCACATAAACATTTTATAAATCGCTCGACATTGTTCTAAATGATTTAATACTGCTCGATTAATTTTTTCTAGCGTATAAAAAAATACTTACTTTACTTTACTTATTATAAACGTTAAGAATAATGAAATTTATTCTCTTTTATAGTATAATTAATGTGCGTAACTCTTCTTAACAAAAAATTATTTGCAGAATATATATACATATGCGAGAAGCTAGATTTTTTTTATATCAAGTCTTGAATTATTACCTCGGCTGCTTTCCCATGCAGACAGTCGCGGTGTCGACCAGTAAAGCTGGGAACAAGTGGCAGAAGTATACGAAAAAAAGATGGATTAATCTATGCTTTGTGTTTCTAAAGCTGTAGTACCAAATTGCTTTGTTAGAGGGAAAATCGAAACCGTACTTTTCTGATAGTTCCTTCAGATCATTGTACGTTATGGGATTGTCCCTAGACACGTAATTATAAATTGGAATGTCGCTGTGCGAGTTGTTGTTCAACCTGAAACAGTGTGGCAACGGGATGACATTTTCATATTTACAACTGTCGCTAAATTTTTTAAACTTAATTATTCCTGCATATGCTTTAAATTCACAGAATAAATTAATACGCAAAAAGAATAATTTTAATAAAAATAACGTCTCGAGAAAAACAATATTCTTGACGATATATAAATAAGACTTCATTATTTAAATTATACGTCTAATAGCATTTTTTTTTTAGATGATTTTAAATGTAGTCGAATGTCGCGTTATGTTTTCAAATATTATGATTAATTTATGATTTGCATGTCAAATTGCATCGATATTAAAAGATAACGATGACGATAAATGTACCTTATGTTCGATATGTCCCATGCACACGCAATAAGAGCGTTAATTGTCAAATCGGCAGGGACCACGTTTGCGGATACCGAGCCATCGCAATGAATCGATCGCAGTAATCCGGTTCCAGCACCAGCAGCAACTCCCGTTGGACCGTATAAATTATCGATCCAGCCTCGTATAGGTTCCTGATACGTTGAAATTACTGCAAGTGAAAAGATTTCAAATATATTTCTTATAATTTCGGATAATAATTCGTAATTTTCAACTAAAATTTATTAAGTCTCCATATACATTATTATTATGATTAATTACTACTTATTTGCAGTCATTAATTATTAATAACGTAATTAATATTTTTTATTCATATAATAATTCAATATTTTTTAAACTGTGTCTTATTTGATGAAAAGATTGGCTGAAACTTTAAAAAATTTTAAATTTAACTTTAAAATTTCGGCTTACGTTATTCAACAATATATTCTGATATTATCGTTAAAAATGCTAAACTTATCCTAACCAATGGCAGGACGGAAAATGCCGATCGGCATGTCGCCAGCCTGTTTCCTAATCACATTCTCCGCAACCGCTTTTGTAAAGGTATAGGTGTTTGGCCACTTTCCTAATAATCTGTAAAAGACAACAAATAAGATTTTCTTTTCGCCTTTTTTTCTCTTCGGGAATTTGAACAGAGAAAAATTGACGTACTGCGGTGTTATATCCTCGGCCAATTTATCCTCCACGCACTCTATCAGCGCGATTAATTTGTCGGAATCCATTGGCGCGTCGTAAAACTTTTCTTCGATCGTGCTTTGCGGACAATTTGCATACGCGGTCGATACATGCACAAATGACTGAGGAAATTAAACAAATAAGATATCAGAGTCCCGTTGTTTTACTATAGAGCTTTAACTTTAAAATTTCCTAATAAAAGTCATCCGAATCGAATGAATAATGATTTAATTGTGAAATAATTGTAAAAAGTTGCTTCTTATAAGTAATTTTTATAACTTTTTTTTTCTCAAACATGTAAGTACCTTCAGATTGGGGATCTCTTTACAGAGATTCAAAACGTCTCTTGTACTTCTGACATTAATTGGTACTGCTAGCTTCAACTTCTCATCGAATCTGACTGTAGCCGCAATGTGAAAGACAATCGACACTTCTCGAATTAGAGTGGCCCGATCTTGTGAAGATATTCCCAGATTTGGCTGGCTACAGTCACCCGCTATAGCAACGATCTGATGCCGGAATTTCGGCTGCTCATCCTTAAGTCTTTCAAATAACTACGCAAGGCGAACAATGATAAATCCATAATTAATTAAATTAAAAGGAATTGCAAAGGCTCTTACGATTGCAATCTACATGTCAAAAAAATCTACATATTATATAAAAATCAACAATGCCGCACGCTAAATTATTATATATATTCCATCGCAACGCAATCGCTTCATTAAGATTCTCGGTTTTCTTTAATCTTTAAAACATTATCCTTGATCAAGTTTCCGAATATCAATATGATGGTGTAAACGTGAAAGGTTTAGCTCTGTGGTAAGAGCGATGACATATCAATGGGACTTTTAATTACTTGATACCGAATATATTTTATTCATTTGACATATTTTATACTTGACACGTTATTTTATACTTGTCACATATTTTATGATTGACACGCTGAATCTAAGTTTAATATGGATGAGATTTTTCAAATAAAATTAAAAAATTCAAGAAAATTATTTTTGTCAAAATATTCGCCAAATTGGCTTTATATGTATTTTTTTCCATTTTCCAGAAACTAAATTTTTGTACATTTGATTAAAAAAAACTCCGAGCTCTTAGAATGAAAATTAATAGCTCTTCACGGAAAAACGATAAATTTTTTGCATCAATCTAAGATAAAGATGATAAGACGTTTGCTTTTGATTAATCGTCTTTAATTATTATTTACTGTCATATTACGAGTTGGAGAATCATAGTAATGATTTTTTTATCAAAGTAAAATCTCAAACAGCATAAAGATTTTATTCATGTGACATTTGAATAGTTCGAAATCTGCCTATATGTTTAGAGACTCACCACATCATCAAAGATTTCCTCGGTGCGTTGATGCACATCCTTGCCTTTCTTGGGGCGCACTAACAAGTAGATAGATGCCAAACCAGAACATGTTCTGAGAAGTTTCTCAATCAGTAGCTTGCCCATAAAGCCGGTGCCGCCGGTGATAAAAATACTCTGGCCATGATAGAACTCCTGAATCGGCGAGAGTTTTTCATTGACCGGCAACAAATCCTCCGTCGGCGAGCATTCCATCAGCGAGGATTCCATGGGTGTTTCCGATTTGCATTTCGACTCGATAACGGCCATCTCCTGGTCGTCGATACGATCCATGAACACTTCCACCATCTCTTCTCCGGACTTGCACCTGCAACGAGAGAGTCTCGTTCACCGAATAGATTCGCTTTAAATCCAATTCGTATTCGCAGTGTGGCGCAAGCCGCCGCGTATCGAATTTAAGATGACCTTTCCTTTTTTGCACGAGCCGTCCGTTGTCCGCCCGATCAATTAGCTGATTTGTGCCGTCCGCGTCGCGTCTCGTCTCGTTTATTCGTTCGCTTATATCATTCGTACGTGGACAAGAGAAAATTCACAGATCATGATCATCCACGTAATAGATGAATACGTGATGGATAAAAATCGATATCAATCTCCTCGCGCCGAGGAACGTATTTTCGTACGTGCTCGAAAGATGTTTGCTTTTTTTAAGCAAAATACTCAGCTGAAAGATGAAATATTTGTTGGATGTGATATCACCTACGCAAAAGATGATTCATTCATGACGTAAAAGTGTATGCTCCCGAAATACATCCAAAGGATATTTTATTTATTTCGTTTTTTATAAAAATTTACGTCGAAGAAATGAGATAATTATAGGAAAACAAGATTGCGAAGTAAAATAACATTTAAAAGGCCATATTATGCAATATGGCTCTCTCTTTCTCTCTCTCTTTCTCTCTCTCTCTTTCTCTCTCTCTCTCTGTTTTTTTCCATTTTTTAAATCGAATATTTTATCGAAGTAAAAGAATCCTTTGAATGGATATGCAATCACAAAAAGATTATGATTTTAATTTGTGTTATTGGACTGCTTCTATCCCTGAGACAAATATGACGAAGGACGTCAAAATAATTAATATTATGCCTGTTGAATCTCTCATCATATATCTGTTTATAAATATATACGAATAATATTTTCTTTCTTATTCCATGAAAATTTTGTGACAACGCTTAGGTGTAGATTTTGTTCCATACGAAGGATAAAATAATGACATTTTAGAATAAAAATACAAATTCTGAAATGCAGCTAAAGTTCTTTTTCTAAACGAACTAGTCGCTTGGACACTAAAACGTTTTTGGGTGTGATCGTATATAATAATGATCCGCCAACCTTGAAAAATGTCGGTCAGTACGCTTACAAGTGTTAATTTTTTGTGAAGTTTTAATGAACTTTGCTCTTGAATCTTGGTGTTTTGCTGTAAAACAAGTCTTATGCAACAAGTGGGTATTGCGTTCCTGGAACGTCTGTCTTACCGTTAATGACCGGTTAAAGAACAGCAAATATTGCACATGGTATTTTCGCCATGAAGAAACAGCGAGTACCATCGCCGACTTCTCATATGAGAAACGTTACGTTAAGAAGATACGTCTTCCAAATATCTCGCCAAGTGGAGAAATACAAATATTTCTCTCAATGAAGAATGAAGCTCATTCCACGAAGCGAAGAATATAACGTTCTAGCCAGAATATAACGTTTAAACAAAACTCATACTCCTCTCATCACCGACGCATTTACGTCGTATGTACATTCTACCTTCTCACCGGAAAGTAGTGTTTGTCGAGCTGTTCTTCAAGAGCCTCTTTCCGATCGGTATAGGATGTATATGCAAAGTCGGTTAAGCGCATTACCGATAATTGCGGCGAATACCTATCTCGTCATCGGCGATTAAAGATTGGCAAATAAAACAAAGATATTTGTTACGCATGAAAAGCTAATGCACGATGCGTGCGCGAAATGCATATTGAAGGACATTATTTTTCATTCCACGCGATCGAGCAAAATGCTCGCGCACACATTCGAAGCGACGAAGCATGGAAATACGCTCTGTTTTCAAAGCGAAGCAAGACAGAAAAATTATTGTGCTCGCACCATTAATCTTCTGTCCAGTCAGTCTTTGTCCCACTGCTTCCAGCTTTTGTTTTCATACCGTTCGCCGTGAATAATGCATAACCGAAATCAAACGTTCTACGGCGATCGCTTGAATATTTCTTTCGCGATAGAGTAACAAATTTAATTTACTGAAAAGAACGTGATATTTTTATTGTCTTTTATTGCAGTATATTAGCATTAAAAAAAAAGAATTTTTTCATGATGTATCGTCTTGAATGATAACAAGCGTTTCTAAGTGTTTCTGGAATTTTCTAAATTCTTTAAATCATGACACAAACATAGTTAGATTTCTTCGGTGAATTGGAAATTAATTTGAATCATGACGCAAACGTAGTTAGATTTCTTCGATGAATTGGAAATTAATTTTAATATTACATAAGTATTCATAGCAAGAGATATCGTTATACACGAATTAAGTGCGAGAAATCGCATCATTATATATCATCAAAAAACGAGAAATTGTGCCTTGAAGAATTGTAACTCAACTTTAGAGAATTACAGTGCAGATTTGCATTAAGAAAAAAACAAGGCCGATTAAAGGCCGAATAGAGAAAGAAGGAAAAGAAGAGAAGAGCGAATAGTGTCCTTGTTTAAGAATGTCAAATAAAAAAAAACATTATTGATAAGTCAAAAAAAGCGCCATTGGTACAGATCGTTTTTTTTTTCGCACTTTTTAAATTTGTGATTAGCCGAAAGTCGCATGTTCTACACATTATACATGTCCTACGTGTATTAATCCGCGCTCTTATTTTCGCGACACGTGTGTCTTATAATAACGCAGAAATTACTTTTCAACAATTGTGTGTGTGTGCCTGTGTGCATTTTATATGTATATTATTTATATTATGTTATAAAAATAGAAAAATCTGTATTATTGCAGCTATTTGAAAGTGTATGCAAAAATCAATCAAAATGTATCTATTATGTTAAGTGACTTGTGTAAATCGCAAATTTTGACCCATTATTTTGTTAGAAATATATAAGAAATATACATATATTAATAATATAATTTTCTGTATTTTTCATCAAGTACCGAAAACACCAACAGCATATGCTGTATTCTAGTTGATTAAAAAATAGATAAATATTAGATTGGCCAGAAAATAATTGCAGTCTGTATTTTATGATTTTGTGCTCTATGTTATTCGTGTTTATTAACAATATCATTATCAATCAATATCAATCATATCAATATCAGTTTTGCTCAGACCAAAAAATATGGAAAAACAAGATTTTCGGAAGATTTTTTTCTACGAGTTCAAGCTTAATCGAAGTGCAGCGCAGACAGCTTGAAATATCAACAAAGCGCAAGAAAAGCTAACGAACATCTGTATGTTTGTCCAACATTGGTACAAAAAAGTTAAAAAAATAATAAAGACATTGGCCTTGAAGATCCTAAGAATCACGAACAATGTTCTTTGGTAGACGATGATCCATTGAAGGCTTTGGTGGAAGCCAATCGACGTACAGACAAAGTCTGCGCTACACTTCCGTGAAGCTTGAACTCGTAGAACAAAATTTTCCAAACATTTTGTTTTTCCATATTTTTTCAACGATCTGAAATTGAGATAAACTGATATTGCTAATAAACACGAATAATAGTTAGATACAGCACAAAATAAACTTTTCAATGATATATAATAATCAACATATAATAAAATAATTTATTTTAAAAAACGTTTCATAAAATTGCAGACATCAAAGTCGCAATTATTTTATTTTCCGATCAACCTAATAATTAAAGTCAGAATAAGATTAACTATTAATTATTAGCTTATTGGCATGATATAATGCATTAATATTTATGTTTTTTTTCTACGATTTGCATATAACTGAAAAAATGTAACTATTTAAATTCTAACTAAAAAAATTCTAACTATTCTAAATTCTAACTTGTTAGAAAATTAATTGAATCATAAATTATAATCAAATGTGATTGATATTCACATATGTGTATGCTTAATATTTTTTTGCAAATTAAAAACAACTTCTATTTAATGTCATTCTTTAATTTTAAACACTTATTTATGAAATTATTGTAATCTTAATAATTTCATGAAAAAATTATGAATTCTAATTAACTCTTAATGATCGTATTTCTTGAATATAATTAATTGAAAGTCAGAAGAATTTGTGCTGAATTTATTATTTTGTTTAAAGCATGTTGTTATCTGAGAACTCGCGTAAATAGAAAAAAAAGTATATTACCTATTATAAATTTTGCATAAATTAATGACAAACTTTAATATATAATTTTATTTAAAGTAACAATAGTTGTTTAAAGGCTCACTAAAATTAATAAAATCGTAAATTAATAAAGGTATGAGAAGAGAATCAAGAGCCGTAGCTGGCTGTGAAATTCTTTTTTATTTAAAAAGATGAATTTCAGACAGTAGCTCACAATCTTCCTAACTGGCTAGTTGTCAAAGCTCACACATGTTGTCTCACATTTACCATTTCGTATGCAAGAATGTGGTAGCGGAGGACGACTTTCAGTGATTTAATTTAAGTGATTCTCAGGTTTCGCCGGTTTAAGATTGTATTGAAGACGGTCGATAGATGACCGAAACGTATATTACTTATTCATTTTTTTAAATAAAAAAGAATTTCACAGCAACCACATTCAGTTACGGCTCTTGGTCCCCTTCTCATACCTCGACTTTATTTAAAGTATTTTAAAAATGTATAAGTACTACAATCTATAAATAATGCATATACTATTGGCAGTATATTTAATGACTTACTAAATCGATTGAGAGCAAAATTTATAAATTATTGAGAACGATACAATTTGCTTTTTATTATTAAAAAAAAATGTTTTTAATGTTATTATTAATTGAAGAAAGTTAATCTTATTCAGATTAATTTTCAAATGTCTCATAATCGATTTCATAATTCCTTGAATAAAAATACAAAGACTATAATTATTCTTAATAAAAATACAAAGGTTACAATTATTCTTGAAATTATGCATTAATAGTGAATCGAATATTTTTGTATTTACATTAAAAAGTGAAGAGTAATAGAGAGTACTATAAAAAAGATATAAATATTAAACAATACAAATTAAATAGGTATTAATTTCTAGATGATATCTTAGCTAAATGGCTAAATTAATGATATGTAATGACTTTTACTTTATAGTAAAGTAGAAAGTTATTTAAATTTAAGCTACATTGTTGCTTTCTTTCAAAATGATT